GATTTCCTTAACACAAGGTTTCTGGATATTTCTTACATTTCTATGGACATGCAACAAATTGACCTGTGAAAGACACCACACATTTTCTCTACAAAGCAACATATTTTCTTTTAAAACATCATAATTATATGCTGTTAACTCATGAAGGGAACTGTGTGATACTATATATTTAGATAAAGTTTATATTTTTTGACATTGTACAACATTTGAGACATTGGGTTCCATGCCATCCTAAGGCTCGCTTGGGTCGGTCAGGATGTTTGTCTTTACGTTTGAGGTTTACTTTCTAAGAACTTTTGACTAGGTTTATATTTATTACCGAAGTCATGCTTTCATGAGTGAAACCAGTTGACTGGGATTAGTACTCAACTTACGTTTGCGTGATCAACGCGTGGCCATAGAGAGAGGCATGCCACACAGAGAACTGAGTGATTAGAAGGCTTCGAGGACAATGAAGTGGGGTGTGCGTCTGTCTTGTTCCATGGGTGAAAGTCAGCATCAACAGGAGGAGGTAAAAGGAAATGGTTTTTGTAACTTTCCTTGAGGAAGTGGGCCTGCGGCGAAAGGACACGTCCCGCACATGAGTGGTAGAGAAACAGCCAGCCGTGGAGGTCACTGGTGACCATCAGCCCTTTAATAAACATGCTGCTTTGAGAGAAGCTCGGGAGGCCCCGCTTCCCACCATCACGGAGAACTGTAACTCACCGACCTCGGCCGCCCTGAAGGTCGTCCTCCTCCTCCATCCTGACAGCAGCCACAGTGCCAGGAGCAGATGCCCAGAGTCAACAATGGCACACCCAGGGAGGGACATGCATGTCTTCACAAAATCCATCCTGACAGTGACCCCGTAAGGCTCAGGGGCACCCTGTTTGTGGTTCTAGAGAAAGCAAAGAACATGAAGCCCCATCCCTCAAGTTCAGCGAATTTCAAACCGAAATGGGCTTGAGGCGTGGCATGGGTCCAGCCCCTGCGAAGGGTGGGTGTGCTGACCATGCTCTCGTGGTCAGGCCGTCCATGGGCGGGTGGAAGTCAGCTGAGGAAGGGAAACCTGCTACCCCATTTCACCCTCAGAGTGATCGGATGGATTTGAACTGCTGCCCTTTGGGCTGGCAGCTGAGGGCTTCACCATTGAACCACAAGGAAGCCTTTAGGAAGAGAAATTCCACCCAAAGAAGGAAATCACAGATGCATCTTCCTCGGTGCTCTTTGTGTGGGGGGATGGGGGCTTGGGTGGGTAGTGGTTACCCGTTGGGCTTCTAGCCCCAAGGTCAGCAGTTCAAAACCACCAGATGCTCCTCGGGGGAAAGATGGGGCTTGTTACTCCCATAAAGAGTGACAGTCTCAGAAACCCACAGGAGCACTTCTACCCTGTCTTACTCCTGTGAGTCTGAATCAGCTCGATGGCAGTGGGTTTGGTTTTTAGTCCAGTGGTGTTTTTTGTGTGTGCCTTCCGGCTGCCCTGAGCCTATTGTTAGCATCCCTGCAGTTAACTAGACAAGACAGCCCCGGGCCTCCCTGCCTGTCTGCAGTGTACTGGGCAGAGTTGCAAGCCTCTGGCTGTGGTTATTGGTGAGGGAGAGAGAAAGATGGTTTCACACTGTCCTAACTTCAGCCCCCCACTGCGCTGGTGGCCAGTC